TGGGTTGATCCAAAGTCCTTCCCCTCCTGCTCCAGCTCCCCCGGGGGGGGGGGGGGGGGGGGAGAATGTACTGGTGACCAGACTGATTATGGACTAGGAAATTCAGGAGGCAGTATAGCTCATGAGATAAGCTGCATAATACTGAAAGCTGAAAGCTGTGGTGTTTGAGGAGCTATAGAGCCCTAGATAAGAAACTTTGCATTGTGGATAGATTATGGCTAGATTATAGCCACTGAGGTGTTGCACAGTTAAAAAGTCCCTAGAGCAGAGACAAAATGGGAAAATAATAGAAAGTGCTCAGGGCTCTGCTTAGTGGTTCCCTATAGCCTAAAACTACCAATGCATCTGTATCTGTTATTCAACAATAGTCAAAAAGATATTTAGTAATGAAGAGAATGGGAAGAATTTAGACACACATTAAAAGGAAGGGGAAATAACTTATAAATGTTGATATTACAGGAGTTGTGGCAGAAAGTAGTAAAGATAAGGACAACAGGACACAATGTGGCTAACCAGACTAGATGAGAGTGGCAGCAGAAGCTACTTACAGTGAAACGTAATTGTGAGAGCTCAGAATGAATGATGGGGAGAGGGAGGGAGGCAGGGAGGGAGGGAGAGAGAGAGAGAGAGAGAGAGAGAGAGAGAGAGAGAGAGAGAGAGAGAGAGAGAGAGAGAGAGAGAGAGAGAGAGGAGATTTGATTGTTCTCCTTAATTCTTACTACTGGTAAATTAAGTTGGGAGAAGGATAAGATGGCATTAGAAGCTTGTAGGGAAAAGTGTAGACCAAAGAATGAACTAAAGACTCACTTCAGGAATGATGACAAGAGTGTAGCAGTGGTCTAAGAATGCAAAGTAATAGCTATGGCAGTAAAGATGTCCACGTGTGGAGATAGTTAGCATGTTTCCTAGATCGATGGTCTTTAGACAACACTCAGAATCCTTGTAAGCATATTTCAACCCCTCCCTCCCCCCCAATATTTTATTCCTGGTATGGGGGAGGATAGGCATAAACAGGTCAGCTGGAACTGCCAGGAAAACATTCTATGATACCAAGGAAAACTGCAGGGAAGGAAAGAGATCTATGATTTTGGTGCTCAGCTCAGAGAGCAGCCCCTCAGGGCGGTGACCAGTGAGAGCTCTGAGAGGTACCCAAACCAGAAGGTGCACAATCCAGATACAAAAGAAGAGAATGTCCACCAGTTTGTTACTGTTGCATTTGGAGCAGCCCTTTTCCAGAAGATTCAAGCAATAATTTGAGTCTCTCAGGCCCTCAAGTTATTACTTAGGTATTAGATGCCTCCCTATTAGGTAAGTGCCTCCCTATTCCCCCTCTGGACCAGTGTTTCTCAAAGTGAACTCTGAGGACCATCTGCAATACAGTCATCTCAGACACATGTACATGCAGATTCGTACCCACACCCCACACACACACACACACACACTGCTCAACAAGAGTTTCTGGAGCTGGGGCCCAGGAATCTCATTTTAAAAACTCCCCAGAGAATTCTCATGCACTCTACAAGATAATCCACTTGGATTAATTTTCAAATGGGTTTAGCTTATGTGGGCAGGAGAATTGCAGGCCCCAGGAGTTTATCTACATGAGTGTGAGTGACTATGGAGTCTTCCCAGGCAGCATCACCCCAAAGGAAGAGATTAGAGAAGATCCAGCAATGAAGCTTGGCGCTTGAATCTGTTAGCAAGCCCCTGAGTTTCAGTGCACCGAAGGGGCATGGAGGGTGACTAGGACGGTACTATAAGCAAAAATGGAAAGAACTATTTTTATTAAAACTCTGTAAGACTTTTGTACACAAATGGCAGTTTTGATACCCAAGTGGAAAACTGAAACTCTAAAGGGAGCTAAAAGACATTCGTCCCTACATTTAGAAAAAAATAATAGACTTTTTTTTTAAAGATTTTTTATTGGGGAATTGGGGGGAGGGGAACAGACAGGTAGACAAATTGCTGTTTTGTTCTTCAGTCTAGTTGTGGAGGATGTCGCTTCACTGGCCCATGTTGGTATGAGCATTGTGCTCTGTGAGGCAATCAGTTGCCGGTCATTGGTCGGCCGCTCACTGCAGCTCACAGCAGCTCTCACCGGCTGCCAGACGCTCACACTGGCTGCCAGCCACTTGTGTAGCTCATGGCAGTCCACTGCAGCCCCGCTGCAGCTTATGCCGTCGCCGACAACTCACAGCAGCCCAGCTCCAGGTTGAGCTGTTGTTCACCATCTTAGCTGTAGAGGGCGCAGCGCCACTGGCCCTTAATGTGGGATCTGAACCGCGGCCCTGCTGCTCAGAGCTGGTGTCCCAAGTGAGCTCTTAACCAACTCGGTTGGCCCTAGGCTATTTTTTTTAGAGGAGGATTACAGAAAACTTGAGCAGAAAGCACAGAGTTCCCATATGTTCCCTCCCCCTTCTCCCCTGTACAGCTTTCCCCATGTTTAACATCTTGCATTAGTGTGGTACATTTGTCTGTCCCCACTTTGTTAATGCATAGAACCCAGTGTGAGCAGCAACAGTCTCCAAAATCATGCCCAGGGGATGTGGTGTTCTTCAGATAAAGCAGAGCCTATGCCTGGCAGATATGGGTGCCTGGTGGACATGGAAGGGCTGGAGCAATGGAAGAATAGAAAAGCAGCACAGACAACGTGATGGCTAACTGAGCTTGTGAATGAGTGAGACCTCCAATAAACACTTAATCGAGAACTTTTCAAGGATCAGGACTCCTGGACTCGCAGATGGGAATAAGAGCAAGGGAAACATGGGCTGCAGCACAGCAGTGAAGGAGCAGATACTTGAGAATCAGACCAACTAGGTGCCAATCCTGGCTTTCCCACTGAATCTGCTGTGTGACGCTGGCTGATTACTCGGTGTCTCGGTTTCTGTGTCTATACAATGGAAGACGTATAGTTTCTACTTCATATAATTGTGATAAATCACGTAAAGTACTTGAAACAGTACTTGGTGTACACAGAATGAACACTCGATATAGTTTAGCACCTACCCCATGGGGTTGCTATAAAAATTGAAAATGAGATACAGGTAAAGCACTCAGAAGAGTTCCTGACATACTGTTGCATGGTAGAAGTTAAATTTTACATGGTGCCAGTATATACACTGGAAGACTAACAAAAGGAGAAGAGACAAACAATTTTATTTGGCAGTGTAAAAGCAAAACTAACTACAGTTGTTTATGTAAATTGCTTAGCACTTATGCTTAATTACTATGAAGCACAGTAGCAATTATACATAGCATGAAGTGTGTCAGGTTGACTTGCTAAAGTTTTTATTATAAAACCAACCTCTGTGTACATATGCTCAGGGTTCGTTGTCTGTTGCTCTTGTATGATCGTCTGCTAATGGAGCATGGTCATCTGCTCACAACGTTAGAAAGTCAGTGGGGGCACTGGCTTGTCCCAACTTCCCTCTCATAGCTGCCAAAATATTTTTTTCGGTCCTTCTTACCCTGTTGCATCTGATGATTCTTCCATCCTTTCCCCAAAGCTCTTTAATTCAATGCGTTTTTATACTTATTATGTTCAGTACTATAATAGGAGCTGGAGGGGATAAAAAGATAATTAAGGCAGCTCCCACTTATAGTCACATATAAGGGAATAAAGGAAACCTTAATATGAGGCAGAAAAAAGTTGCTGTGAGACTTCAGGAAACGCTGACTGTGGCTTGTGAACTAGATACTTAAGAATACGTAGGATTATTACATTATATAATATAATTATGAGATATAATTCACCTACTGTAAAATTCGCTCTTTTAAAGTGCAAAAATCAAGGGGTTTTACCATATTCACAAACTTGTGCAACTCGCACTACAATCAATTTTAGAACACTTTTATCACCCTAAAAAGAAACCCCATATCTATCAGCAGTCACTACTCATTTCCCTCCCATCAGTCTCTAGCAACTGCTAATCTACTTTCAGTTTCTATAGAATTGCCTATTCTGGACATTTTTAATAAATAGAATCATATAATTTACAGGCTTTTGTGTCTGACTTCATTCACTTAGAATGATATTTTCAAGGTTCCTCTATGTTGTAGCATGTATCAGTACTTCATTCCTTTTTATTACCAAATAATATTCCATTGTACAGATATACCACATTTTATCCATCTATTCATCAGTTGATAGATACTTGGATTGTTTTTATTTTTTTGGCTGTTATGAATAATGCTGCTGTGAACTCATATACAAGTTTTTGTTGGAAACGTGTTTTGAATTCTCCTGAGCCTACACCTAGGAGTGTCATTGCTGGGTCATATGGTGACTCCATGTTTAACTTTTTGAGGAATTGCCAGACTATTCTCCAAAGTAGCTGCACTATTTTACAATCCCACCTGAAATGTATAAAGGTTCTGATTTCTCCACATCCTTGCCAACAGCTGTTGTTGCCTGTCTTTTTTATTTTAGCTTAGTGGGTGTGAATTCTTGTTGGATTTCCCTGATGTCTAATGATAGCCACTCATATATTTTTTTTTGTAGGAGTGTCTATTCAAGTCCTTCAACCATTTTTTACTTGGGCTATTTGCCTTTTTATCGTTTAGTTGTAAGTGCTTTTTATATATTCTGAATACAAGTGCCTGGCTAGATAAATAATTATTTTCTCCCATTCTGTGGGTTGTCTTTTTACTTTCTTGATGGTGCCTTTTCAATCATGACAGTTTTTAATTTTGATGAAATCTAAATGATCACTGTTTTATCTCGTACATGCAGGTCTATGTCTATTTTGAATTAATTTTTGTATATGGTATGAAATAGGGATCCAACTACATTTTTTTGCATGTGGATATCCAGTTGCTCCAGCACCACTGGTTGAAAATACTAAGAATGGGCACGATTTAAAAGAGCAGCATGAGCATAGCCATAGAAACATGAATGTATGGGTGTCCAGGAATAGCAACTGGTTCATCTTGACTAGAGGACTGGACAAGTAGGGATATTTCATGGGCAATCAGGCTGGAAAGATTCGTAGGGTCAGATTATGGAGCGCCTTGAGTGGCAAGAGATGGAGAACTACGAAAGATTCTTGCACAGGACATCAGAATCAGGCTTTCAGAAGACTGACTTAGCTGCACACAATACACCGGACTGGAATGGGGTAAACACTGTAAGTAGAGAAGTCAGTTAGTGGAGCTTCTACAGTGGTCTAGACAGGAGACCACAGCCAAGGCTGTCACAGCGAGAGTCACGGAGACTGTGAGAGAGAAAAGAGGGAACTGGCACGTGAAAAATATAATAGAGGCAAAAGCACACACAGGTCTTAATAACTGATTGGATGGTGAGGATGGATTGAGAGAGATTTGGGGAAATAGTGCCTCCATTAACAAAAAACAGTAACATCAGGAAGACTGGGTAGTTTGGCAGGAAAGGTGAGTTAGCTTTTGGACATGTTGTCTTTACATTTTCAAACATTCCCAGTAGGGAAGTCTAGCGTTCATTTGGGAACGCAGCTCTGGATCTCAAGATAGAAGTCAGGATTGGCGGTAAGGATGTGGGAGACCTTGCATAGTCATGGTGTTTATGACCGGGGGCATGAATGAGGGATTCTCTCCTATTCCCCTCTCTCTCCAGATAGCTGCTCCTTCTGAGTTTCCTCAGGTGATACTTCTTCCTTTTCCCACCCCCAAAAGTGAGTTCCTTCATTCTTTCATTCAACAAATATTTATTAAATGCTTACTGTCCCCAGGCATGCTTCAAGGCACTGGTAATGCTTGGTGAACAAAACGGACCACTACCCCACCTCCACAAAATCTGCCTTAATGAAGCTTACAGTCTAGTGGGAAGAGGCAAAAAGTAAAAAAATAAATAAAGATGTAAAACCTAGTGTTCTGACGATAAAAGTGCGATGGAGAAAAATGATGAAACAGAGAAAGGGGATGGAAGGGGTTGCAATTTAAAATAGGATGATTAAGGACAGCCTCAAGGAGAATGACACATTGATTAAAAGGCCTGATGCAGGTGAAGGAACAAGCTATGTAGATATCTAAGTAAAATGCATTCCAGGCAAAGAGGACAGCCAGTGCTGGAGGCTGGAGAGTGCCCAGTGTGTCAGAGGAACAAGAGCAGAGTCAGCCGGGTAGAGTAGTAGATTAGGCCCGAGGCCTAACTGGGGGCTACATTGTGTAGGGTCTTATAAACCATGCTAAGAATTTGGCTTCTGCTCTATGTAAGATAAGAAACCACCGGAGGATTTTTGAGCAGAGAATGGAAAAAATTGATTTATATTTTAAAGGGATCAATCTTTAAAGGGACCAATCATTTTGAGAGTAGCATGTGGGAGAATACAGGTAGAAGCAAGGAGACTAGTTAGTAGGCTTTACCAATAAATAATCCAGGTAAGAGAGAAAGACAGTTTGGACCAGAGTGATAGCAGTGAAGGTGTTGAGAACCGATTAGAGCCTGGATATATTCTGAGCTGGAGCTGGCAGGTTTGATGACAGATTGAATACAGGATGTGAGAGGAAGAAAGGAGTCAAAGATGACTCTAAGGTTTTTGTGTGACAACTAAAAGGAACTGCGCTTTACTTAGGTGGGGAAGGCTGCAGAAGGAGCAGGTTTGAGACGGTGTCATTGAAGATGAGGAGTTCAGCTTGAGGTGTATCAGGAATTTAAGTTTGAGACGCCTATTAAACATTGAAGTGACATATCAAGAATATGGCAGTCTCCCACTTTATTACTACTGTTTTTCAGAAACTACCCACATTTTAGGTGTTGTGTGTATTTTGTCTGAAGAGAGTCAGCCAAGCTCCTTTGGCCTCTGACAGGAACCTGAACCTCCTCAATCTATTTCATTCCCAATCTGCTTTCTGATGATGGCCAGCATCTTGCTGGCCTTTAGAATTGCAGGGTACACCAAATTTCATGGTACAATATATAATGATTCCCATGTTACTTTCTTCTATTATAATGGAAAAGAAAGCTAATAGGTAATATGTTTGTGTTAATTTTTAAATGTCTATACTGAAGTCCATTTGCCAAATCTCCAACATTCCAGATTACATATGCACACATTAAATTTTTAATTTTTATATAATTATAGACTTGCAGAAGGTTGCAAAGAAATGTGCAGGGAAGTCCCACACAAGCCTCTCCTAGGGTTAATGTCTTACAACTATAGTACAATATTCATAAAGCTTATTCAGACCACCAGTTTTACATACTCATTTGTGTGTGTGTGTGTGTGTGTGTGTGTATAGCTTGATGTGATTTTGCCACATGTATAGCTTTGCATAATCACACCACAATCAAGATACTTAACTCTACCATTACCACAAGGCTCACTGGTGTTATTCCTTTATAGCCAAACCCATCCCCCATCCCTAACCCCTGGCAACCACTAATCTGTTTTCCAGCTCTATACTTCATTCCTTTTTATTGCTGAGTAGTACTCCATGGTACGGGTGTGCCACAGTTTTTTAACCACTCATCCTTTGAAGGACATTTAGGTAGTTTCCAATTTTTGGTTTTAATGAATAAAGTTGCTGTGCACATATAAGTACAAGTTCCTGAGTAAAAATTAGTCTTCATTTCTCTGCAATAAATGCCCAAGAGTGGAATCACTAAATCATCTGGCAAATCCGTTTTTAAATTTTGAAAGGAGCAGCTAAACTATTTTCCGGAGTCAAATTGTTTTTGGAATTTAATTATGACTCAATCCCTAGAAAGGTATTTCACTGTTTACCTCTTTCTGATTAGAGAACTATTGCTCTCACAGTCCAGTGGAGTCAGACAGACCTGGATTCAAATTCTGCTTCAATCACTTATTAGCTGGGAGAGCTTAAACAATATATATATTTAACTTTTTTGAGTCTCAGATTCCCTATTTGAAAAATAGGGAAAATAATGCCTGAGATAGTAGGGATTTAACATCAACATGTAAAATACTGAGAGTAGAGCATCAGGTACACAGTAGTGAGTTAACGCAAGCTCTCTTCCCACCCTGGCAAAATAACAATCAAACATTACTCCCAACATTTTTGGTATTTGAAATTTTAAAAATCCAAAGGAAGCATAATACTAGCTCCTTTTGTATGTATTCTTTTTTACTAAGTAAATTATCTTTTGTAGATTCCATGTGCATAATTTTCCTTGGCAAAACCATTTTCCCTTTCTTCCTATCAATTATATTTTCTGAATTAATCCTTACAACTGTTGGCAGCAGAAATGAGTTGGTGCATCTCCATTATGCTCTGTGTTTTTTCTCTCTCCTAGGTCAGTGAACAATTTCCTGATGACTGGTCCAAAGGTAAGAAAAAAAAATTCCTTTGATTTATTTGGATTTCATTAATCTTAGCTTCTTGGCTGAAGGCTATACATGCCAATTTCTCTTTATCCACATCTTTTATTATGCTGTATCTATTACAGACAGAAAAACTGGGGCACAGAGAGGGTTAAGGACACACTTCAAACCACACAGCAAACTAGTGTCAGACCCAAGACAAGCAGTCGGGAGTATTGATTCTGAATTTATGGGAGGAATTTCCAGAGCCAGAAAAGTCAAAAGCCTTTCAGTGTCAGGCTACAGTCACACAACCTTCTCAGTGCAGTGGTGGGATGCAGTTTTCCATCTTTAAATTACTGGCATTGTACTGCATGGTCTCTAAGGACGTTTCCAGTTTCAAAATGGTCTTTGCTAAGATGGTAATGAGATGAGAACAATGGAAAATTCATGGATGATGTAATTTGGGATCATTTTGAAGAGGCAGAATAGTACAGTGAATAGTATAGACCCAGTGAGGTCTACCATCTGATGAAACTGAATTTCATTCCTATCTATATCATTTGCTAGCTGGGGAACCTTGAGCAAATTGCTTTAGTTCACCTCTCTGAGCCTCAGATTCCTAATCTATACACTGGTTCTTCTTTCACAAAGTTATTTGTGATGTTAAATGAGCTTGCATATTTAAAGTGCTTACCCTGTCATTATTTTGGAGGGATAGGAGGGTGGGCAGGAAGAGAAGGGCTTGGCCACTTTAGGGCAAATATCTCCCAAGTCCAGCTGCTGTGAGTCTGCATTTTAACCCCTGTATCCCCACAGGCTTACCTGATCTACTCCAGCAGCGTGGCAGCTGGTGCCCAGAGTGGTATTGAGGAATGCAAATACCAGTTTGCCTGGGACCGCTGGAACTGCCCTGAGAGAGCCCTGCAGCTGTCCAGCCATGGCGGCCTTCGCAGTGGTAAGGAAAGCCTCGGCCACAGCTCCCGGGACCCCCTGGCCACAGGTTAGAGCCCCACTCTCCAGGGACGGCCCCCTGCCTCCCTACACCCTTATTCCTCACCTGGCCTCTATGCTCACTTCATCTCCCACTCTGGGATCTTCTCCGTTCCTTTTCCAGCTCCTGTTTCCTATCTATAGAACTTTTTTCTTTCTTCCCCCAAACCCTCATTGCTCAACGAGTAGACCTTGCTTCACCCCCAATCCTATACCATCCTTGGCCTCCTGGTTGGCAAAAGGCTTCCTCAGTACAGATAACATCAGGAGGTAGGTAGGGATCACAATTCCTCCTACCTCTAAGCCCCTTCCTTCAGCAGGCTCAGCAGAGAGGTACAAGCCAAGTGGGAAACGACTTGGAAAGCAGATTCCCATGGAAAAGATAAAGAGTGGCCATGCCAGTAAATGAAAGAGCCGCCAGTCAGAGGTTCTTTTCAGGAATAACGGGCACATGCCTCTTAGACTTCAATGTTCTAGGAGAAAGTGGGGATGGGTTCTTCACAACCTGGACTTCAGATTCATCTCCACCCCCATTCCTTCCTCAGGCTCTTTCCCACCTAAGTCCTTTACAATCATGCATGCCTACAAAAATCTAGCCGCTTCATCATAAAATATGTGATCTGAAAAGATGGAAGAGGAAAAAGTAGAGCTGAGACCAGGGCTGGAGTAGACCCTGGAAGAGAGTGAGGTACATTATAAAGGTGGAAAAATAGGATGGAGCTGGGAAAGAAGCGTGTGATGATCATAGTGAAGGCAAGCAGCATGGCTGGTATTTCTTTGGGTTGCAACCCCTCCCTCTAACAGATCCAATTTTTGGTTCCTGCCAGCTAATCGGGAGACAGCGTTTGTACACGCCATCAGTTCTGCTGGAGTCATGTACACTCTGACTAGAAACTGCAGCCTTGGGGATTTTGACAACTGTGGCTGTGATGACTCTCGGAACGGGCAACTGGGTGAGTAGTGTGATGTTGCGGGTGAGTAGGACAGGCCAGTAAAGTTCACTTCAAGAATGAAAAGCTCGGTGGGTAGCTGGGTGGGGTAAAGAAGAGTTGCATTCTTCCAAATCTGAGGAAAATCAGGGCGAACCAGTTTAAGCCCAAAATCTGTTGTGACAAACCAGGCTAAATGTTGCGTGGGCCCTTCTCTCACTGAGTGTTTTCCTTAATTTAAACATAATAATGATAAAGGAACAATGCTTCCCGAGGATTCAATCCAGTCAATCTCTCAAACACAGGGGTGCTGTCCTTCCATGGTGTCTATCTCTCTGTCTCCTTTCCACTCTTTACCTCCATTGTCCTCTCTTTTCCTCCTGGCACTCTGGCTCAACTTCCAATTTGGTTGGTCCATATTTTTTCAGTTGTTCCTTTCTATCCCCTCGATGCTCGCGCTTTCCTCACCTTTTTCGCGCCATGTGTCGTGTCTGGAAGTCAATCGCTGGAGGGGCACGTGCACACTCCGTCCAAAGGCCAGAAACTGTGTTTAAGTAGAGGAGCGCCGGTACCTTGCAGAGAATCCACTCGGCAACTACTTATGTCATGAAGTCCTGAGCAGCAGATTGGCTGAGGCTGGACGTGGGCGCGCAAAAATGGCAAAAACAAATCTAGGCTGAAACTAATCTTGAGACTGGGCTCTCGCCCAGCCCTAGTCCTTCCCCATCCCATAGCCCCTCAGCCTGATTAGAAACAGCAGCCAGGAGGATCCGCACCACCTGCTCAACGACCTTTCCTCCCCCTGCACTTTTCCAGGAGGTCAAGGCTGGCTGTGGGGAGGCTGCAGTGACAACGTGGGCTTCGGAGAGGCAATATCCAAGCAGTTCGTCGATGCCCTGGAGACAGGACAAGATGCCCGGGCTGCCATGAACCTGCACAACAACGAGGCCGGCCGCAAGGTGAGTCCTGCAGCCCCTGGGGTTAGGCAGCTGGCTCTCTATCCATTACCAGCCTTAAGTGCGGACAGCTCCCCACTTAACTGTTTGGGAAGACGAGGTACTAAGGCGGCTGGCCACATAGATTGACCAGAAGCCTCGCAACTCCCCCAGAGGCCGACTCCCCACGCGCTTAATCCCTGGCCCGCTCACTCCTGGCTCTCTCCCAGGCGGTGAAGGGCACCATGAAACGCACGTGTAAGTGTCACGGCGTGTCTGGCAGCTGCACCACGCAGACCTGCTGGCTGCAGCTGCCCGAGTTCCGCGAGGTGGGCGCGCACCTGAAGGAGAAGTACCACGCAGCTCTCAAGGTGGACCTGCTGCAAGGTGCGGGCAACAGTGCCGCCGGCCGCGGCGCCATCGCCGACACCTTCCGTTCCATCTCCACGCGGGAACTGGTGCACTTGGAGGACTCCCCGGACTACTGCCTGGAGAACAAAACGCTAGGACTGCTGGGCACCGAAGGCAGAGAGTGCCTGCGACGCGGGCGGGCCCTGGGCCGCTGGGAGCGCCGCAGCTGCCGCCGGCTCTGTGGGGACTGCGGGCTGGCGGTGGAGGAGCGCCGCGCAGAGACCGTGTCCAGCTGCAACTGCAAGTTCCACTGGTGCTGCGCGGTCCGCTGCGAGCAGTGCCGCCGGCGAGTCACCAAGTACTTCTGTAGCCGAGCCGAGCGGCCGCGGGGGGGCGCGGCGCACAAACCCGTGCGAAAACCCTAAGGGTCTCTCTCCTCTCCTTGCTCCTTTCCCCATTTTTCCTTGACTTGTTTTAGAGACCCCAGTACTAGGGAATGGGGATCCCGCACTCCCAAGCCCAGGGATCCTGAGAGAGACACTGCAATCTCCTGAGTTTGTCACTTTCCAACCTGTTCCCCCAATTTCGCTGCATTCCCTGGAGCTGTCTGAAACGTCCTCACCGCCCACATTTAGATCTGAGAACTCTTGAGATTTTGAGCTACTGATCTTCATTGGACGAGGTTGAGAATAGAAGTTCCCCCCTCCCCTTCCCAGCTATCCTAACTCCTTAGGAACAGGAAGACCCCTTCTCAAATATGCAGGGCCCGCGGGTAAAGCCATGGCTTCTCTTTTGCTCATTTTCTTGTCCTCCACCCCATTTTTTGCTGCCAGGCCTCTACCACAGCCGCATCTTCCTTCTACAATAGAGCTACTCCTGTGCTTGATTTCCTGCTAACTGTTGGCATAGACTCCCCAGGGAATCTCTAATGCTTTCTCTCCCCTTGCCCTTTTCCCTCTTTCCGTGAAGAGAAACAGAAAACTGACCCAGGAAAACGCATGGGGACTGGTTCCTAGAGGCAGGGGTTGAAGAAGGGAGTGGAAACCCTAGCATGCTGCCTTGCTGAAAACGGAGGGTGCTACTCATCTTCGCAACACCGTCTCCAGGGGACTTGACCAGTGGGGCAATGATCCTCCTAGACAATCACCTAAGGTGCTCCACTTACCCACAATGTCAAAGAACTAGTGAGGTCAGATTAGCAGTCATTTCCTACCCTTTCAAGTAACCTTCTCCTAACCTATTTCCTCCTAGCAACCAACTTTACCTCTTGTCCTTCCACAAAGGATCCTTGTGCCTGAGCCAAGCCTGAGCTCAATAAAGCCAGTTTCCCATTTGGACCCTGGTTTGCACCTCTAAAAGGCAGGTCATAAGGAAAAAGGAGCTAGGACCCTTCCTTTTCACTAACCTGGTTCTCAAACAGGCAGGATTTGGGGCCTTGGATATTTTCCTTCAATAAGTAAACTTCCTGCAATGAAACTGTTGCTAATAGGAAGTTCAGCACCTTCCATTTTTAATTTATTGCAGTCACTGTAGTATGTGTCTTTCCCCACGCATTGAACTCATTCAACATATCTCATCTTGGAGATATAGGGGCGGGTGGGTGGAAGATGTAACCTTGAGGCCCTCCCTTTACTTCCACCTTGCCAGAATACCACCATCCTTAGCGCCTTTCTTCCCTGATGGCATAAGTAGTTATCCTGGCCCTACTGAGGCTAATCTGCTAAGGATTAGTAAATCATCCACATAATTCTTCCTCTAATACATTCACTCAGCAGCTAAGAGCTTGCTGCTTGTGGCGCTTCAGTCTCCCGGTTCTGAGAGAGACGCCGTACAGCAGGGACTTGCTTATGAGACGGCTCTGGGAAGGGAAGAGCCAATCCCTGACACATCAGCAGCCCACGGAGCTTCCCAGCCATTGCCCTTCCCCTCGGCTGCTCCTGGGTCTGCTCTTCAGGAGCGCAACTGGTCAAATGCCAGACCCCCTCATCCTGCCTCTCCCAGAGCAAGAACGAACAGAGGAGGTGTGGCTCCAAGAATAAAACAGGGGCTGAGTGAGGCTCTAAAGGCCAGCCTGGGAGTGTGGAAGGGCTCCCATATATATCCAAATTGAAATGGTGGCCAGGTCAGACGCCAAAGCCCTGGCCTCACGCCTACACATCTTCTGGTCTTAGTAACACTTACTGAAAGGTTCCCCTTCCTTCCTTATAGGGGACACACTTCCCTTCAGGGTCTCCTAGTGCTTCTGTTCCAGCTCTATCAGCAAAAGGCTTTTGCTTCTTCCCTCAGCTTTGATCTGGGCCTCTTACGTTTCCCAACTCACCCTTCTTCCTTCACGAAGCAGCAGCATCTACCAGCCTGGCTATCCCCTTTGGCAGAATGATTTGATACTGTACAGTAAGAAACCTGGCAAGAGCTAGAAAATATACAAGTACAAGGAAAGGAAAGCTGCCTTCTTGTAAAGGAAAGCCGCGTTCTCCAGGAGGTCTCTCAGCAGAAAAGCAGGGGAAACTATTGTGCTTCGTATTTGATAACTCCAGGTCAGTACTCTTAAACATGTCTTGCTGCCAGAAAGTTCTTTCCCAGGTTATTGTTTTGCATTCCCAAATGGAGATGATTGATACCAGATTCATTTGAGTTCTAGAAAGGAAACATGACTGAGCTACCTTAGACCTTTAGTGCTTTTCCCCCTCCTGCATTATCCATTCATTCATTTGTTCACTCAGCAAACACACAGGAGTGGAAATAGAGTGGTGAGCAATACATGGCCCTCCCTGCAATCATGGAGTTTAGGTTCTCCCTTAGACTCAATCACCAGGGCTGTGTTCTCCTTCACAGACGAGGACAACTCCAGAACGAACAGCTGCTTGGGAAGGCACTTTAAGGTCAGCTAGTCAAACTTTTGTTTTATAGATTTAAACCGATGCTAAGAAGTCTGGCTTGTTCCACCAACTAGCAAGTGACCGTGGTGGGGTGCGTACTGGAACCCAGGCCCCTTCCCTCCTCTAGTGTGCTCTTTAGGAGCCCATCTGGAGTCCTCAACCAGAGGACAGAAACAGAGGGAGGTCCTAAGAAGTGACAAGGACACTGGTTGGGGGGTGGGGTGCAAAACACTGTCTTCTTCCTGTCCCTGGCCTCTAAGCATATACACAGGCAGGGCTTTCTTTTCTTGAAAAGAATCCCAGCCTCAACTGGCCTGAGCAGCAGGTTAGGGCAAAGACACAGACAGGGTCGTGCTCAGCGCTGGTGGTGCTGGTGGTGGTGGGAGGGAAGGGCAGGCCAGGGCACTCGCCTATTGTGGGTCTGGATTGGATGCTTCCACTCATTCACTTCCTTTTAATTAACCCGCATTCCTGGAGGAGAAATATTTATGTTGGCTCCCATAGAGGCAATCTGCAGACTGGAAAGAAGGGGGAAGAAAGCCTGCCTTCGCAAAACAATATCTCTAAAGAGCTCAGAAAGAGAAAATAAGAGAACAAAATGCCATTAAAATAGCCTTCTACCCCCACTGGAGTCAATGAAAACTTCATTTCACATGCTAATCCCCCTCCGCCCCCTTCTCTTCTCACAACACCTTTTCCGAAAGTGTTTGGGAAAAGTCTTCGCAGTCAGTACACAGCTCCCTGCAGCTCAGACTTCTCCTTGTGTTAGTTCAGGGCCCCAAGTGGGGCTCTCACTCCAGCAGCGGCTTTTTTCTCCCCCCCTTTAATTTAAACAAAGACTTCGGAGTTCATCAACCTCCCACTGAAATTCACAGCTGCTGAACAAACTAATCCCCTCTCCCGGCCTTTCTTCCCTTCAATGGGCTCTTGGCTTCAAAGACACTTTGGGAAAGGACTTCGCTGGGGCTCACACTGCTTCATCAATAGAAGTTAGTGCAAGTATTATCTGAAGAGCAAGTGGCTTTACAAACAAATACTGCCTAACAATCCCTTCCTCCCAAACACACACATCTAGCCCGCAGACATGATGGGATCTACAACAGGATTAGAGATAGTACCCCCTGGCTTCACACCCAGCCCCTTTTGTGCAGCTGAGCTCAGCCCTGAAGTGGTGTGGGGAAAACCCTGGCGCTGACTGTCAGGCACGGATGGAGACACACAGACACACGCAGCAGAGTAGCCACAAATGCTGCAAGGAGAGAGTCAATTTCAGTGACACCCTCCTTTCTTCCACTCTCTGGACTCCCCATCTGTCCCGAAGCCTCTCCCCTGCTTTTTATTAGGGTGCAGAGAGCAAGAACAAAGACAGAAAGAGAGGTAAAGGCAAAATAGGACTCAGGAAACAATTATTGGGAGATGACTGAGGAAACCAAACCAAAGCAGCTTTATTGCACATAGGAACATCAGTGCTTTGAACGCAGCATCCAACCACAAAAGTGAAGGCAGCCCTGAGACATGCGGGGGCCAAGGGGCAGAAGGGCCTCCAGTCCTTGAGGAGCAGTGCTAGAACAGGGTCTTTCAGTGATATGGCTCCTATTCCAGAACGGGGCTTATGGGCTTATGCTCACAGATTGAATGGTCTAGGGTCTTGGGCCAGGGTTCAGACAGGTCAAGTCAGGGCAGTGGTCCCTCTGCTCCTATCTCATAGGCTAAGAGAGCTCCCAGCAAAAGGAAGTGCACCCCTTCCACCTAACCTCACCCACCCTTACTAATGCTGGTAGATGAGAAGTTTTTTTAACAAGGGCCCAAGTTCTTCCTCTTGGTTCTGCTCAGCACCCATCCCTTATGTCCATGACTTGTTCAAAGAATGAACAGTCAACTCTAACCCAGCCTCTGGGACTCAGAGAAATACGGACCTGGAAATATGAAGTCAGAGGCAAGGAAAAGGTACGGTCAGGCTCATGACCCACATAAGGAGAAAACAAAAGGCCCACAAGACGGGGACGGCAGAGGTAGACTTGGAAGTGATGACCCTGCTCACCCTCTCAGAAGCCACTTAAATAGAATATCCTTGGGGGAGAATACACGCTGCCCCAGGTCCTGTTGGAGCACAGTATTGGGAAAAGTACAGAACTGGCTCCATGCTCTGTCTCAGAGGCTGAGTGAACCCTGGGCAGATCCTAGAAGGCCAGGCACACAGGAGTAGAAAGCAGGCGCTCAGCTCGTTTGGAGCCACGCCTAACGCATCATCTACCGGGAAGCAGGAAGGAGGGTAGGGAAAAATGAACAAAATCTTCCCAAGTTCCCTTTTCTGCAGGGAGGAGTTAAGTAACAGCAGAAATGGCCTCCCGGTAAGAGAGGCTGCCTGACCTACACATGCAGCTTATGAGCAATGGAGAGAATAGCCTTTAGGATGGGCATGAAGCTGGAGACCTCGCTGAAGCGGCTGCAGCTCACCACCTGGGCATGCACGGCAAGGCCCTGCTCAAAGCTTCCTGAGTCCACACATCGGGCCACCTCGTGGAGCCCAGCCAGGACATGAGGCGAGAGCTGTGGGGGGAGTGGCCCTTAGGTTAGTCAGCCCAGCCCAGCCCCTACCCTGGCAGCACGACGGGATAAGACAGGACTAAAGTTCTGGAGCCTAGTCCAGGCAAGGTGGATGTATTGTGTGGGGAACCCAGGATGGTGAGACCTAACGGGAGGAGACACTGGGCTCCCTTTGGCCATGGGTGATTGTGGAAGGGCAGGAGGTAGAGGAGTATCACTAAGTGTACCTACTGTCCCTTCGCAGAGCTTCTCATATAGACATTCTAGACGTTGGGCTGCCTCCTCCAGCTTCCGTTTTGTCTTCTGCAAGGAGGGAAATGGATTCTGACTGCAGCCCCTTAAGCCTAACACTACACAGGACTATACTGAATCACAGTAGATTAGAGCTAGAATAGCTTAATGCTACTTCTTTCATTTCACAGAAGAAATGGAGGCCTGAAGAGGGTAAGTGACTTGCTCAAGCTGACACAGCCAGTGAATGAATGTCCGGTTTCCTCACTCCTGGTTTCACCCTCCTTCCAGTATTCCCTGCTGTCTTTCCAAGAGTTAAGTCTCAATGCTGCTGGGTCCTGCTACCAAGGAGCTGGACTTCAAACTAGACCAGTTCCCCCACCCCCACCCCCACCCCCTGGATGGACATCAAATCAGTATAAGATACAGACAGCATGTCCAGGGACAGTGAAGAAAGTCACACAAAAAATTGATCTCCAGCTAAGGGGTCCCGGAACCAGCTATGGGGTGTGAGGAGGACATGGTCAAGAAGGTTCGGACTTACCAAGTCAGTGGCAGACTGGGAGCAGCGTTGTAGAAGCGCCTCAAAGCTGGTCTTCAAGGACTGATGCTCTGGGGGCAGCTCCTTCCTATCCATTTTCTCTGGTGGCCGTTGCTGCGGGAGGAGCAGGAAGAAAGGATAGGCAGGCAAACTGTCCTTCTCGTAGCTTCCCTAAGGACTAGTCCTCAGTGACTCAGCATCACACTGCTCCCACTAGAGCAGAGCAGACCTGGGGAGGGGGCGCCCTCTGCAATAAGGACATTTGGGGTCTGCCCTCTGCCTGTTCCCAGCTCAGAGCCTGCCTCCACCTTGAGGCAGAAGGCCCATCTAGGATGCTCCCTGTTTTTCTATACCCAAGCCGGGCTAGAAGGTTTCCAAGGGGAGGGGAGCACATTGTTCCTGTCACCTGCAAGCCGAGTTCTCCTGGGGCTCCAGGGGGAGCATGACCCACACCAGGGACACGGGGCTGTGAAGAAAGGACTCCTCGTGACTCCAAGGTGAGGCTCATAACTGGAACCGTAATTGGTGCTGGAGTCATAAGTGTCTCTGGCAACTAAAGAGATAGAAAGAGAGGCACATGGGTCTAAGCGAGAGACTCTCTAAGCCCGGGGTTGAAAGAGTGACAGACATTATGAGCGAACAAGGGGACCAAATAGTGAGTGGGGAACCAGGAAGTGCATGAATGTAAGAAGGAAAGAGGAGGGCCTGAGGGGAGCAGCGTGCGGGGAGAGAGGAAAGAGCGCGTGCCTGAGGGGGAAGGACTGGGCTGAACTCTGTAAGGAACTGGTGAGCTGGGGATTGTATGAGGGGGTGGGTGGGTGTACTACCTTTCTCCTCTGAAAGTCTGCCCTGGGAGCTGGAGCATTTTTCAAGGAACCTTGAGTTCCTGAAGAGTATAAAGATACAGGTGTTTAGGGGCATGGTCAGGAACATCGGAAATTTTTAGTCTGAAGGCCATCAACAGTATTTTTGTTGGAGTCCACCACACCTCCCTCTGCAGACCAGTCATACTTTCAGTTGACATTCTCCAATCCATCGAGCCCCGGTTCATTGGCTTGAAGAAGAGACTCCCAAGGTGATGGTGGGAAGGTGGGGAAGACAGAGGCAATGACCCAGAAGAGGGAAGCCATGGAAGCAAGACTGACCTGGATGAGGAGTCAAGATGCCAGTGGTTGGGAGGGCACTAGAGCCTGGAGCACCTGGACCTCCTGGAGGGTGTGCCGCAGGGAAGCTGATAGGAGGGGCTGGAGGCTGGGAGCTCATAGGGTGGAGAATTGATGGTCTCACAGGAAGCGAAGGGAGCGGCTGAGCAGTCTCAGGCAGGGAGGCGGAGCCAGGCTGCATGATGTCTAAGGGTGCCATGGGTGAAAAGGGACCAGGGAGAGGCCACGTTCCAGGGAATCCCACGGGGTTAGGAGTTTGCACCCTTTGCTCTCTTAAGAGCTGTGGCTGAGATAAAGCTGAAGTGGAACAGAAACAGTTCATTGCCACCAAATTTCAATTTGGGAGAGACTCAGAGCACATGAGGGAGGAATAAAGCCTTGGTAATAATTTTGCAAAACCTAATAATAATAAATGGTTAATACATGTGTATGGAGATCTACCATTTGTAAAGTACTTTTAACTGTACTCCTTATTTGACCCTCAAAACAATCCTGTGGGGTTGAAATGACCAACATAACAAGTACTCTTACTTTTCAAAAAAAAACAGAGCGGCTAAGTATATTTCCCACAGGTCCAAAGCCAGTAAGTACTGGCAATCCCAACTTCAAATTCCAAGCTCCTCTACTATACACACACACTGCCTCCCAAATCCATGCTGGCAATTCCAATTGTTTTCCTCCATGCTTTGCCCAGACAGATCATTCACTCACTCACCAGGCCTTACCCCAGGGCCCAGAGGCAAAGGCTGGGTTACCTGGGACCCAGGTACTCTGTAGTCACTTATGGTCTGCATTCTAGAGCCTTGATAAGGGCTAGGATGGGAAGGTGTTAATGGTGTCACTAGCGATGCCTGAGGTGTGAAAATCCCTGGCCTTGTAGATGGAGTCTGAACCTGTGAAGAGAAAAAAGGGTTAGCACTTGGGAAGGAAAAAAAATTATAAAGCTAAGTAATTGAAAATGAAAAAACAATAGAAAAAAATGACACAAAAAGCTAGTTCTTCCAAAAAAAATCAACAAAACTGATAGGTCTATAAAAACTGACAAAGATAAAGACAGAACACACAAGTCATCAAGATGAGGTATGAAATGGAACATTATAACAGACTTTGCAGCCATTAAAAGGATAAGAAGGAAATATTACAAAGAAATTTTACATTCATGAATTTGACAACTTAGGAAAAAATGGGCCAATTCTTCAAGAACTACAAACTACTAAAACTCAGTCAAAATTAAATAGATAACTTAAATAGTCCTATAACTATTAAAGAAATTAAATTTTTAATTAAAAAGCCCCCCCCCAAAGAAAAAAATAAATTCCTAGGCCTAGATAGCGTCACTGGAGAATTTTAACCAAACATAAAGAATTAACACAGGGCCGGTCGAGTGGCGCGTTGGTTAAGAGCAGGCTTGGGATGCCAGCTCTGAGCATCAGGGTCCCAGTTCGGATCCCACATGGGGCCCAGTGACACTGCCCTCTACAGCTAAGATGCTGAACAACATCTTGACCTGGTGCTGGGCTGCCATGAGTCACCAGCAACGGCGTAAGCTGCAGCCCCTGCTGCAGTGGGCTGCCATAAGCTACCGTGTGTGGCCAGCAGCCAGCGTGAGCTGCCAACAGCCGCCATGAGCGGCCGTCCTAAGGCTGGTGACCGATCTGCCTCACTCGGGAAGAGCGCAATGATAATACCAACATGGGCCAGTGAAGCAACGTCCTCCACAACTAGACTGAAGAACAAAACGACAGCAACTTGTCTGTTCCCCTTCTCCCGATTCCCCAGCGCTGTTCCCCTCCCCCAATTCCCCAATAAAAAAAATCTTAAAAAAAAAAAAAAGAATTAACACAAAGTTTACACAATCTCTTCCAGAACATAGAAAAGACATTACCTAACTTATTTGATAAAGTCAGTACTACCCTGATACCAACACCAGACAAAGACAGCACAAAATAAAACTACAGACCAATATTTCTTATGAACTTTGACACAAAAATCCTCAGTAAAATTTTAGCAAATCAAATCCAACAATGTATATTAAAAAATAATATACCACAACCAAGTGGGATTTATTCCTGGTCATGCAAGGCTGGTTCAATATATTTAAAAATCAATCAATGTAATCCACCATAACAACAGGATAAAGAATAAAAATTATTACATAAAATGATGTAGAAAAACATTTGACAAAATTCAACACTGATTCATGATTCAGTACATCAGGAATAAAGGAAAAATTCCTCAGACTCATGAAGAGTATATACAAAAAACCTACAGCTAACATCATACTTAATGGTAAAAGAGTGAATATTTTCCTTTTTTTTTTAAAGATTTTTATTGGGGAATTGGGGGATGGGAATAGTGCTGGGGAAGTGGGGGAAGGGGAACAGACAAGTTGCTGTCATTTTGTTCTTCAGTCTAGTTGTGGAGGATGTTGCTTCACTGGCCCAAGTTGGCACCATCATTGCGCTCTTCCCGGCTGAGGCAGACCAGGTGCCAGCTTCCGGACGGCCAATCACGGCAGCTTGAGGGCCGCTCACGCTGGCTGCTGGCTACACACGGTAGTCCATGGCAACCCACTGCCACAGGGGCTGCAGCCTATGCCGTAGCCAGCGACTCATGGCAGCCCAGCTCCAGGTTGAGCTGTTGTTCAGCAATTTAGCTGTGGAGGGCAGTGTCACTGGCCCTCATATGTGGGATCTGAACCGGGGCCCTCTGGCGTCCCAAGCCAGTTCTTAACCATCGCGCCACTCGGCCGGCCCAATATTTTCCTTTTAAGATTGGAAACCAGGCAAGGATGTTCACTTTCACAATTCTTATTTTAGTACTATAATAGGCAAGAGAAAGGAATTAAAGGCATACATATTGGGGGTGGGGTGGAAGATATAAAATTGTCTCTATTTGCAGACAATGTGACTGTTTGCATAGAAAATCCCAAGGAATCCACCAAAACAAAACAAAAACCAAAAGAAAACTCAACTCCTAGAACTAACAAATGAGTTCAGGAAACTCAATACTAAACATTGGAAGTCACAGGATACAAGATGATTAACAACAACAACAACAACAACAAAAAATCAATTCCATTTGTATATACTGACAATGAACAACTGGAATCCAAAATTGAAAATGCAAATACCATTGGGTTTTAATTGCTCAAGATAAAATTAAATAGTTAGGTTTGAACTGAACAAAACATATCAGGATCTGTATGATGAAAATTATAAAATGCTAATGGAGATAGCATTGAAGAGACATACGAAGTTCATGGATGGGAAGACAACAGAGCAAATATGTCAATTCTCCTTACATTATTCTATAGTTTTAATCCAATTCCTGTCAAAATTTTAGCAAGTTTCTTTGTAGACATAGACAAGCTTATCCCAAAATGTATGTGGAAAGGGCAAGGTCCCAGAATACTCAAAGTAATTTTGAAAAAGAAAAGTAAAATGGAGGAATTACTCTTTCTCATTTTACTCTATAGAAGTAGTAATCAAGATGGAGTGGTACTGGCAGAGGGATAGACACATAGACCAGTGGAATAGAATAGAGAACAGAGAAATAAATCCATAGAATATGCCCAATTAATTTTTGACAAAGGAACAAAATTAATTCCATGGAGGAGAGACAACCTTTTCAGTAAACAATTCTGGACATCTATTGGTAAGAAAATTAAGCTTGACCTAAAATAAACTTCACACTTTATACAAAAATTAACTCAAAGTGGAACATGGACTTAAACTAAAACATAAAACTGTAAAACTTCTAGAAAGAACATAGGAGAAAATTTGGGGGACCTTGAACTAGACAGCAAAAGCAAGATCCATAGAAGGAAAACTATAAAATGGAGCCTATAAAATTAAAAAATTTTGCTTTGTGAAGCACCCTGTTAAAAATATGAAAAGACAAATCCTTACATAGTTATACACACACACACACGCACACATACACATACATGTACAACATGTGAAATCTGAAGTCTGACTTTATGGATTGTACTTGTATCAATTTCTCGGTTTTGATATTGCACTGTGGTTGTGTGGGATGTTGGCATGGGATGGGATGGGTTGTGATGCATGAGACATCCCAGTACATTTTTTACTTCCTGTGATTCTATAATTATTCCAAAATAGAAAAGACAGAGGGAGAGGGAAAGGGAGACGTGAAGGAGAAGGGAGAGAAGAGAGGGAGAAGGAGGGAGAGGGAAGAAAGAAAATTAGGGTTAGAATTGAAGGTGGAACAGGATGAATCAATCATCAGAGCTTCTGCCTGACACCTCTATTTACAATCTCACTGGATTTCATTCCCCAGCTCTTCTGTATCATAACAGCACCCTATCCATCTGGGCACTGTGGCCAGGAACCTAGGGGCCAATCCCCACTTCACATACTTCTCTAAACCATCACTAATTGCTGTCAATTTTACTTACTAAATATCTCAAGTCGAGCCTTACTCTCTAGCTTAGGTCATTTCATATCCTCATCATCTCTTTCTGTAGCCTCCTAACTGCCTGCAGCCTTGCCTTTTCTAAACACATAGCATAAGACTATTCAAAAGCTCATGACTGCTATCAATCTCAGGGTCAAGTCTAAGCTCTTTAGCTCAGAATGCCAGGTCCCTCCTGATCGAACTCCTACCTGTTACCCCAGCTTCATCTAAGCCCACTCCACTGCCCAGCCCCATTAAAATATTAGTAATTCCTGGGCCAGCCGAGTGGACCGGTGGTTAAGAGCTGGTTTGGGATGCCAGAGGGCCCCAGTTCGGATCCCATATGAGGGCCAGTGACACTGCCCTCTACAGCTAAGATGCTGAACAACAACTTAACCTGGAGCTGGGCTGCTGTGAGTCACCGGTGACGGCATAGGCTGCAGCCACTGCTGCAGTGGGTTGCCATGGGCTACCGTGTGTAGCCAGCAGCCAGCGTGAGCGGCCAGCAGCCACCGTGAGCAATGGTCCAGAGGCTGGCGACTGATCTGCCTCGCCTGGGAAGAACGCAATGATGGTGCCAACTTGGGCCAGTGAAGTGACGTCCTCCACAACTAGACTGAAGAACAAAAGGACAGCAACTTGTCTGTTCCCCTTCCCCCAATTCCCCAGCACTGTTCCCATCCCCCAATTCCCAATAAAAATCTTAAAAAAAAAATTCAGTAATTCCTCAAGTGGGCTTTGCTCACTCTCCTTTCAATGCTTTTGTACATACTGTTCCCTCCGCTGGAAAAAGCCTTCACCTACCCTTTCCTTTGCCTAAAGAACTTTTAATCTTCAAGACTGAGATCAACATCATACTCACTCTGAAATATTCCCTAAACTTCCCCAACCCCCAAGAGTAAGTAAATTGCTTTCTTCTGTGTTATTCTGCAGCACCTTCTCATACTCCAATATGGCATTTATAAATTTCACTGTAGGTTTTTTTTTTTTTAACACATCTATATTTCCACTAGACTATGAGCTAATTAAGGGCAAGGATCATGGTTTGGGCACCTTTTTGTTCTAAGAGTCGAGCAGTTGTTCAATAAACAGTTATTAGAAATGCAACCAAATCTATGCACTATGAAATCAGGAATTTTCATCATTTTTGTTCACTAATATGTTCCAAGTGACTAGAACCATGCCTGGTACTTGGTAGACACTTAATGAGTTTGTTTTGTTTTGAGTATTTTTTAAAGAATGAACAAATCAACAAACAAACAAGGTCTCACCTGGTGAGAAGGCTGGAACCCCAATCTGCAAGATGATGTCTCTTTAGAATGGGGGTGAGCTCCCACAATGACTCGGGGAAAAGGGAAAGGAGGAGGCTGCTGGCCTAAGACACCGGCTCCCTGGGCATGAAAAAGCCTATCTCTCAGCTGCTGAATTGGTGGCTACAAAAGTTATAATGAAGAACTGTGTTAAGTAAAATTAAAACAAGCAAACATCCTCTCTTACAAGCCTGGCCCCATATAGCACTCAAAGCTCAGCTGACCCTCTACACTCTAGCTACCTTAGATGACTCAAAGCCTCCTAATGCCTGCCAAGACTCCTTCCTTGCTGTTTTTTCTGCCTAGGTCGCCCTACATCTGCTGGTAAGCTACTTCTCTTTGAAGGTCCAGCTCAACAACTTGAACCATTGAGAAGCCTTCCTTGACTTCTGCAGGCAAAACCAGCCCCTTCCCTGAGGCCCTCAGTGCTTAGTATAAGTTATCACCATCTGATTTTCCTCAAGAGATTGTGAGCTTCCTGAGGGACTAGATCGTATTTATCCCAGGAGCTTCAGCATTTAGCATAGCGCCTGGGACACGGAAGTGCTCCACCAGTGTTAGATGATGGAGTAAAATGGTTTGCTCTTTTCACGTGGCCCCACTCACCTGCACACAGTCACTGGGTAGGTAGCTCATGGCAGTGGCCAGGCTGCCCTGGGCTGCCAGGAAGTTGGCATACTGAGTGACCCTGTAGGTTGTGGCAGGGCCTGGGCTCACCCCATCAGGACCCCGCAGGAGCTCCAAGCCCCTGTTGAGGACCATCACTGTCTCCATCAGGTCCTAGAGGAAAAAGCATGAGGGCAGTGAGCCTTCTTCAAAGCACATCCTGCTCTCTAAGCAGTTGACCCAGGGACCTCCCACTGTGGGTAAAAGGGCACCCAGCCATAGCCAGGTGAAGACAGTGGTGATGATATATGAGACATGACAGTTAAAGAAGGACCACTTGGCCTCACGTCCCAAGCTATTAGCATTGAGCTCAACTGGGGCCATCTGGGTCTTAGATTCTAGCACATCTCTGCCTCTTTTTTTTTTTTTTTTGCTTTCTTTATCCTTTTTGCTAGTACATCAGCAATTTCAGACCCATTTATACTATTGTTTCATGGGTGACTGCCTCCCCATGAGTCTGTGACCCCGCCCCTCCCCCTTGCTCTGGTCTCCCACAGAGTGTCTGGTACAATTTAGGACCACAGAACTTTTCTTAGCAGCTAATAGAAGGCCCAGGCTCACAATTACTCAAATATAGAATAAACTTGTATAACCAAATCTGAAATGGGAGAACCTTACAAGGTTAATACTTAAGTAGCTGCTGCTCAGTGTCCCCTGAGGAGGGAAGGAGGTGATAGCTCATCGTTGGGAGAAGGTCCCAGACATTAAGGGCCTTTCTCTCCTCCCTAATACCCTGACTGCAGCCTGGGGACCCAGAAGACTGGCCCTGATATCCCTGCACATCCCTACCACTAGCCTCTCCGGAAGCCCAGGTACAGAGGGACCAGTGCCCTGCAGAGAAGGGGTACCTGTAGAGCCATGGGGGATGAAGCCCGGTGGCACTTTGCCCAGCACTCCACCAGCCGCTCCACACTCCCTGAGCAGACATAACAGAGCCTGGCTTCGGGGGTGAGTGCCCTGCCGCCCTCGTGCTCCATGCGAGTACCTAGCATGTCTGCAGAGAGATGGAAACATCTTTAATGGCACAGCTCCCCTTTGCTCCGCCTCCTTTTCCTGTTTGCAAATAGGCGGAGGACCATGAGCTGTGGGACAAGTAGCCACAGTGGCTTTGAACAACACTGACATTAACCCCGTTCTACAGTGAGGGGCAAAGTTCTTGCTTCAAGATGTGACAAGAAAAAGTAAAACGGGAAAACAAATGACAGGAGGGGCGTGCTCTGTCATCCTTTCCTCCCAGCTGAACCACACAACAAAGCCTGGCGTCCTAGAGCTCGGGCTGCTCTTCTGCCTCCTCGGACTCCACGGACTCCAGGGACTCCACACTGGGGTCACACCACTCCCTCCTGAAGCCAAGGGCCACCTACCACAGAGCTCAGGGAATTTCTCTGGCCCTGAGTACGTCAGCAGCAAGGCCAGTGCCTCTCTCCAGTTCTGCAGGCTACAAGCACACACCATATCCTTCCAATTCTTCCTCACAACACAGGCTAGCAGCTGTAATGGGCAGAGAGGGAAGGAGGCCATCAACTATCCACCCACCACAAGCAGTAGGAGTCACGCATCAGAATGTGCTAGAAAAGCCACTCATGAGCAGGCTTCCTGTTAGACCACTGACTGGGGCTCGGGGTGAGGTTGGGGTGGTCAGAGTGGGAAGAAAAAGGCTGGCAGATCCTCTAAACACCAGTCCCCAGGGGTGGGCATCCACCAGACAAGGTCCAAGTAATCCCCTCCCCTTCTTTCCTACACTGTGGGCAATTACCGAAGAGATTCTAGTTTTCTCCTTGGCCAAGTAGCGCTCCTGTGTTTGCTTCAGTAGATCTGCACCCCCAGCATGGGCCAGGATGATGGCATCGGCAAAGCGCTCTTCCTTCAGACACAGCTCCACAGCAGGGCCCAGCTCTCCAAGCAGGAGAGCCTGGCTCAGGAGTCCATCCACGTCTGCGGGCAGAGGCATCCCCCCCACATTAGCCTGTCCTCAGACCCTAGCTTCCTGTCCTCTGCAGGGTGGTCTCACAACACACCTCCTATATCTCTCTATCACTCAGCCTCCATCGCCTCCAACAAAACTCCCAAGTTTCATTCCTCAACAACAAGATGTAGTGGGCTGTCATGGGATGCCCAAGTCTGGTGGTAACTCTCTAAGGAGAGGACCCAAGGTGAGGGAGGGATTCATGTATCAGTATCAAGGTGCGATGTGTGATTGCTCAGCAAGAACAGGGTCACAGTCGTTTAAGCAAGAAGACAGGAGGATAGAAAAAAATATCTTGGTAGAAGGCCTTCCACAGGAAGGATTCATCCATGAAAATCTACAGCCAGAGGGAGCTCTAACCAGTAACAGAACCACCAGCATTTGTGATGGTGGGAGGGAGGCAGAAGGCAGGGGACAAGAAGGAAATGTCCTCAAGTCCGAGAACTCCGAGCCCACCTACTCCCACGCGGAGAGTTTCTCTCCCTCAGGGTGTGGGTACCTTCTGTGATGGGGATCTCCCATGGAGTCATGTTCTGAGGGACCAGCTCATCAAAGAAGGTTGAGGAGGCAGAGGCTTCCTCTGTTGTGTGTTTGGAAGCCTGTATAAGGAAGGACAGAGGTGGCTACTTAGGAAACGAAGCCCAAAGACAGAGCTGGCTTAGTAGCTCTCTCTGGGAGCTCTACTATTTGGCCCTTGAATGGGTAAAGCTAAAAGAATAATCAGGTAAAGTTTGGGGAAAGCTCTAGTTCATAGCTAAAACACAGCTCTACTCTCAGCCCAAAAGCTTATGGACTCTGTATCTCACTGTGGTTCCAAGAGAGGGAGGCGTTTGAAGACTTCTACAGAAGTTGAGCACTTCACTAGAACGAAGCCAAGGGCCAGGGAGGGGGAGATGTCCTGAAGGCAGGTCTCCTGTGCTACTGTAGATCCTGCTGGCTGGGCTCCTACGATACCTGGCTACAGAAGGCTTGTTGTCTGTGACTGTCAAGGTCATCTCCCCTGGGCTGAGGGCTCTCACCCAGCCCCGAGTCACTCTTCAAGCACTTGGCCACCTGCAGGGAGAGACCTACGTGTACCACTCTTCCAGCACAAGGTCAAACAAGCTTTATACTTTCTTCCCACCTCCAAACCCCACCAACTAGACTCACTAAGATCCTTGAACTGTTTTCCTGGGAAAAAGGCTAACTCCAGGAGGTCGAATGTCCATATATGCATTAGTGAAGCCCAGGAAGAGGTATTCTGAGATGGTTTCCACTGACTAATCCTCTTTTTCTCTGCATCAAGTACATGTTTCTAATGGGCAAGCCACTTACCTTCTTCTGAAGCTCATCCTTACTGTATCCTAATAGCTTTAGGAACTTCATTCTGGAGTCTTGCTCTAATGTCACCTAAGGAACCACAGAACACACAAGTCACCATTAAATGAATGTGAATTGCCCTCTCCTACACAAGCTGGACATCTGTGCCAGTGTACCCTCAAAGATAGTTCTTTGTACTACCAGGAGTGCCCTACTGAGGCCAATACCATCTCTCCCTTATTCTCTCCCCAGATTTTATTCCTGCTGGGCTGTGGGCACAGTGTTAACAAAACCCTTTCCCCCTTCTGCATGAGAATTGGACCCCCAGTTGACTTCCTAGAACTGTTACCATGGTAACCTGATAATAATAAAATGCCAGATATGTTTCTAGGCAATATTACTTGTGATTGGTAAATTGTATTTGGGCTGGAATGACATAAACTATAAATAATCTATATGGACACCATGCTTTGGGCTTCCCCGATTGCAAGGACTCTTTTAACTGAACAGATCCCTTGCAGGGACTCTAGAAGCTACACTTTTAGAGTTGGTACAAGATATATTGGCTCTTGTGGGTGTGAGGCTTCTAAGCCAGGGTAACCTAAGGAACTTACACATCTGCCTGATGTACATCTCATCTTGCACCTGAGCTGTCCTCTGGGGGAGCTGAAGAAGAGAACTCTGTACTGCTGCATGGACTGCTGCAAGGACTGCCACAGAAGGGAACACCTGAGGCTGCCCTGCTGACAGGTTGTGATTCCTGTCCCACATCCTTCTGAGGAAACTGATGCTAAGTGATCCTACAGCAGCCTTCTGAGTCTAAATGTCTAGTTGAGAAGATGCGTGGTCAGGTGCACAGACACAAACAAAGTTAGCTTACCTACTCAGTGTCCCAGATACTGAGGGCCAAGCCTTCCTGAAGGCCTACCCTAATCTGGGGTCGCTGGTCTGGGCCCTTCATTTATTCTACACTAACCCATGAGTTCTGACTACCATCTTTTTCATCGTCTCTCAGGGTCCCCTCTTTCTTCCGTGCTCTTCCGTTGGAAATGTTCCTCCACACTCAGCTTCAGGACCATCATGATGGGCAGCTTTTGAGTAGCTTCTCAACAAGACTCCCCTCTGTATGGGCACCACTACCTGAGTAAAGGCTGAACTCTCCCCACCATTCCTGGATCTATTACCCGTATCCTGCTTATAACAAAAGCATCATTTCTTACTCTTTTCTTTCCACATTTTTTTCTGGTTTTACTCTAGAGCTGATGATCTTTCTCAAATCCCTTTCTCCTCCCCAGACTCCTGGTATCTACATTTATAAAGTTCCACTGTGTCTGAAGCGCAGACCCCAAGTCCTTCTCAGACCCCCAGGACAAGGCCCTGTCCTTCTTTTTCCCTTCTCTATAATCCCAAAGATTTGAAGAACCCTCTCACTGCCTGTCCAGTCAGTTATTTCTCTTTCTTCCTTCAGCCCTCTCCTCTTGCTTGCTTATTTCCTTCGACAGCTATAGCACGCCTCCTGGAGTCATAAGCAACTTGAAATTAAATTAGCGCTGTAACTGAAGTCGTGCCTCCAGAGTGGGGTGGGCCTTGAGCCCAAAGTCCCACCACAGTGACTTGCCTTGGGTCACGTGAAACAAACTCATGATGGTATGGTCTTCCAGCTAACCTTCTTCCCTTCCTTTCCCTTCCCTTCTTCTCCTTCCCCATCACCTTATCTGTCCTTTGGCATGGCACTGTGAGAGCCTTCACCTTGGCTCTGGCAAAGTATCTAGGACATCAGCAACAGTAGCAAAACGGGGCAAATGTCACTTGTACTCCTCAGCTTCCCTAGCCACAAATGGCCTCTGAGCCTCTGGTAAAGGAGGAAGATTTTGTGTCCAGAGGGTGTGTGTGGTGTAGGAAAAACCTAATAGGGGTTAGGGCCTCTGAAATCAGGGTCACAGTTTAATTGTGCATCTCCTGGAGATGGCTGAGGTTGGAGCACCCAGCTTTGGGGAAACACTTCTGAGCAGCCAGGCTTCGGGACTCCTACCTTCAAGAACTGCCACAGCATCTTTTCACTTGGCAATGACACTTGGATCTTGTTCTGACAATAATTCAGGAGGTTTCCTGATCTCAGGGCCTCCTGCAGCTCAGCTGACCGCATCAGGAATTCGGATTCTGTGGTGACCTGACTGATGAAGACTAGGCGGAGGCAAGGCTGTGGCACCTGATGGGCGGGGGGACTGGGAAGGCTGAAAGTAACCAGCTTCCCCCCAAACTGGAGAGGGAAGACAAGAAGGGTAAAGGTCATGCCTTCGGTACCAAGTCAGGATCACAGGCAAGGCTACATATTGGTCAACCCCAGGATGGGAAATCAGTAAGAGAACTCCTGGGGGTGAGACAGAAGCAGGAACTGAGTAGTGAACGTGCCCCCATACCAAAAACACCTCTGCATTTTTAGCACCATTACCTTTAAACTTCAACACACGCTACTCATCTTCTCCTCACATGTCCTGGTACCAGTCAGTCCTTCTCCCAGTCACATGGACTGAATACCTTGGCATTATCACAGTCTTTATACCCACTACAGCCAAGCAGTAACAAAGTCTTACCTCTTCTCATTCTAGGTATCTCATGCAGGCCCCCTCTGTCCCATTCCCAGTGCTCACACACCTAGATTACTGGAATAGGTCAAGCCTCTAGGTTTTTCCCTCCTCCGATCCAAGTGTTAGGCTATCACCCTGTACCTGTTGATGTTCAGGATCTTGTAATAGTTTCACGAGGCCACAGGAGAGAGCTGAAGCTCCTCTGCCTGCTGTGCACAAAATCCTCCAAAACTAGGGCCAGCCCTGCCTCTCCAGCACCTCTCCCTGCTCATTTATGCGACAGCTCCACATCCCCCAAGTGCCCAATTCATCCCTGCTTCTGTGTTCACCCACCACAACACCTCCACCTGAGTATCCTTCTCGCCAATTTAGGTACTTTATATAAAGCACCTGACACAAAAGCAGAGCTTAGTAAAGGTCCTTGACTCCAGCAGCTCTCCATCTCAGCGCCATATTAAAACCACCGGGAAGCTGTCCAGAGTTGGCAGGCTGTACCCCAGACAATTAAATTAGAATCTCTGGGGGTGGGACCAAGCATCAGTATTGTTAAAGTTCTTCAGGTTATTCCAATTGCAGCCAAGGTTGACACTTCCTGCTTTCCTCCCCAGCCATTCACTATTTCCCTTCCTAAGATCTCCTCCTTAAAGAATTTTCCCAGGCAGAATTCTTCTCTTGACTCCTACAGCACAAAATCTATACTACCGATCAGTGCTCAACAAAGCCAGCTCATCTTTGGATTGGTATACTACTTGATAGTTTGACAAAATGCTTATTATTGTTTGAGGTTCATGTCACCGGACTAACGTAAGGCAAGTATTACTATCCCTATTTTACAGATTAAAACACTGAAGTCTGAGTTAAGTGACTTGCCCAAGGTTACCCAACTGCTAAGTGACAGAGCAATGATAAGAATTCAAGACTATCACCTCAGAATTCTTCACCTCACTCCTCCTTAATGTGTAGGTCTTACCTCCCTAATAAAACTGTTGGCTGTGAAAAAGAAGAACCTCTACTTTTATGCATCTGTTTTTAATTCAAACCTAATATTTAAAGCCTTGAGCCAGGTGCTTTAGGGCCTTGCAGTGAGGGCATCACCTGGGAACTTGTTGGAAAACCAGAATCTTGCATCCTACCCCAGACTGATTGAGCCAGAAGCTGAAGTTTAATAAGACCCCCCAGGTGATTTGTATGCACGTTAAAATAAAGTGCATACAAACACTACTTTAGGGATAAAAATAAACAAGATGTGGTCCCCATCCTCAAGGAATCTATTACTTCGTAGGGTCTCCAGGCATGTATATAAATAACTTTAGTATAGTTAGAACATATCAGTATACGAGTATAAATCTGTGAGATTCAGAAGTGAGGTTAAGCGTGACTAGGGTTAAAGATGGGCCTCATGAAGGGGGTGGTATTTAAGCATAGGACCTTTCAAGGCTGCAGCAGGATTCAATGGCCTGGGAGAGCAGCTGAAGGGTGGGGTACAGGTGGAGGCAGCAGAGTTGGAGAGTCATTTGTGGAATGGAAAGAAGTCATTTTTAAGTGGAGCATAGAGAATACATGAGAATAAGATGGGACTAAAAACTGGAAAGGTAAATGGAGCTGTACATTTGGCCTTGAGCCTGTGAGGCAAATGGGGTCAAAGGTTGTGAGCAGAGGAGTGACAGGATAAAATCATTTGTTTTTCATTCTTGCTTTGCATGCTAACCCTTTCGTAGCTGGACTCACTACCAGACCAGACACGTAAGGGTTAGAGAAAATCAGGTGGAATCCCAGGTGGTTCTCCATAACTGGGACATGTAAAGCAATCAATTCCTCTTAGACAGGACTGGCACAGCAAGCAGGTGAAGGGGCAGAGAGGGAAGCTACATGTTTCAGCGGGAAAGTGGGCCCTAATCTAGACACAATCAGTGGGAATAAATCTCCTACAGAACAAGGCCTCATACTAGTCACATGGTAGGCTTCACACACACACACACACACACACACACACACAACACACATCACACACACACACCACACA